AGCAGCCTAATTTTACAGCTTCTGATTTCTGGAAGGAAATATACTGCAGTGTCTGACAGTTAAAGCAAGGTCTCTAATTTGAAACAGCTTCCTCACGCTGCCATTACTAAATGGTGAAACTTCTGTTGTTTTAACTAGTGAAACAGAGTTGGAGAGATTGAATTTTAGGACTAGGTCTTGAAAATGTTGATGAATGTTTTGTTCAGAATTCTTAATGTTCCAGTTATGAAACTTTCTCTCCAGCTTCTTAGAAAATTCATGATAAGGTGACAAGAGATATTTTAGCTTTAGTGTATACACATTTCACTTCAAACGCTGTTAACGTACTGTACAGAAAGTAGGGTTCCGTGTTAGAGAGCAAGAGAGAGAGAGATTACATTTGTTTTCCTGTTATTGTTCAGGAACTGCAGTTGGACAAAGAGAAGACTAAACTGCTGAGAGGTAGTATGAACACTCTAGTAGAAGAAAAAAGTGGTACCATGTTTTCCAGTTAATAGCAGTAGAGAGAGAAAAACTCCAGAAAGACATGGTGGATAATGGCCATTATTGTTGTCAAGGAAAATCAACCTGAAATGGCATTCTAAGGGGAAATTATGCACAACTTGTCATTATGCTTATTGGAAATATTTATACAGTAATCTAGTGCCACTGAGTTCTGAAGTTATGAATATTGTCATAATGGATTTGTCATAGCATGTGTGAGAGATGGAGGGAGAAGAAAAGGAAATGATTTTTCAAAAAAAACAGTACTACCTTTGCTAAGCTCTTCCCATTTAAATAATTTCTGCTATTTCTGTACTGCTTAAACTGTACATCCCTGACATTCTCTACATGGCTTATCTAGACTAAGTTATTAAGGGTTACGAGTATGGATAATTTTTAAACCTCTGTAGAGGCAATACAATTATTTCTGTGCTATGTGCAAATGACACCACAAAATCTCTTCCTCTCATTCAATGGTAGAAATTTCTTCATTCTTTGGGCGCTCTCATAAAATACATCCAGCTTTTGAATGTGCTGATTAACCCAGTTTAATCCAGCCTAGGCTAGCTTGAAGCCAGCAAAACAAAAAAGATAATTTATTAATGTGTGGTGATCTGATTATTTAAAAGTGGTCCTGTATCCAAGTTCCTGTCATGCCTGTGAATGTCTGTGCCTTAGGTGTCTAGAGAGGAAAATCAAAGCCTGTCATAACAAATTGAGGAGTGTCATAACAAACAGAGAAGTAATAGAGAAAAGGTTTAGGTTTGCTTTTTTTTAAACTTTGAAAAACAACACTTCTAAAGGACTGAACTACAGAAAACAAAGAGAAAGAGCAGGTCACAGCTGAGGCAAGCTACACTGACTCCCAAGTGAGTGCTGCTGGGAAATGTATCCTGCATACTTGTTCCCACTTACTGCATCCAGAGCCTGGAAATTAGGCAAGGTTGTCAGTTTAGCATGACACAAAGATCCCCTGTATGGTGTCACAACCATGTGCAACTTGTGCTGCTGGTGCTTCGTCTCATGACCTTGTCATAATTGTGCACAAGCAATGGCTGTTTCCATTGCTGCTGCAAGGTCCTCCTGCGTACAGGTCTCACCAAGGAGTCGGTAAGCGAACAGCTGCTCCATAGACTGCACATCACTGCACTTGCATATATTTATGTCATTAGAGTAGCCCCATATGATCATGTTTGTTTTGATCTTCCAGTTTATGTGAGCAGGCAATTCAAGCATCACCATGTTGGTCTAGTTTCTTGGCATGAACTGATTGTTCCCATACTGGACATGCATATTCTTCAGTGGAGTAACACAAGGCAATAGCAGTGATTCATAATGCAGCTGGATTTGCTCGCCACTTGGACATAGCTGACTTGCAAAGTATGTTGTTGCGGGTACTTACTTTCCCTTTCTTCTTCTCTACATGTGCTTTGAAGATAAGAGTTCATAGAATCAAAGGACCGGAAGGGACCTGCAAGATCATCATGTCCAGTCTCCTGCCATGGGCAGGAAGTTGTTGGGCTCAGACAAGCTCAACAAGGTGCCTGTCCAGCCTCATCTTGAACACCTCCAAGGATGGTGACTGCACCACCTCTGCTGGGAGTGTGTTCCAGATTCTGGTGACCCTTACAAAAGTTTTTTTTTCCTTATGTCCAGCCTGAATTTACCCTCTATTTGCTTGTGCCCATTGGTCCTTGTCTGCCCTTGAGGTGCCTTCCTGAAGAGTTGCTCCCCTAGATCTTGATGCTCACCCCTGATGTACTGGTAGGCGGCCATCAACTCACCTCTCAGCCTTCTCTTACTCAGACTGAGCAGGCCCAGTTCCTGGAATCTCTTCTCATAGGGTCCATCTTCCATGCCCCTAATCATACAGGTAATCATATGGGTACATGCCTCTAATCAAACAGGTTCAGTCCAATGTAATCTCCAAGTACACAGGGTTTGGATGATTAGTCAGTGGGATTCCATCCCAGATGATATTTAATTTATGCTTGGCTTCTCTGTGGCAGAGGTGAAAAGCTGTGACCTGCATCTTGATTGGGCTGGTGTGAGGCTGGTTCTTATTGTAATTTGAGAGGTTGCTCAGTATATATGTCAGTCTGTTCTTGACAGTGGTGAAGACCTTCTCTTGCAACACGATGCATATATCACCAACATCTATGACACTGTTATTATTCTGTATGCATTGGTCATTGGTATATATGTTAAAAAGGATTGGTGGAAGAATACCACCTTGTGGGAGGTCATTTTATTGTCAGCTCCAGAGGCTCCATTTCTTGCATAGTTCTACATAAAAATGTCTCTTCTCCATTAGAAATTGGATGAACTGCACTAGGTGGTAGTTATGCATCATATCATAGACTTTGGCAAGCAAGTTT